CTTTTATATTTTTGTTTATTTTGCCAGTAGTTATTGCTTTATAGATTTTTGTACAGGTTTTGGTTTATAAGTGTTCTTAACCATCATGGTCATATTTAAGGATTGTATCCATAATCATTCAGTATCCCTCTTAGTTGTAATGAATGTTGTTTTATTTGAGGTCCAACTTTATCTCCTATTATTATCTAATAATCCCTTGTGGGTTTTTTTTTTGATATATTTTTTGCCCTTTCTCTCACTTTATACCTGTATTCTTTTATTTTAGTTTGAACTTTCTGAATCAGCTCTGAGTGTCATTTTGTATTTACTGTCTTTATTATCTGATGTAGTCTCCTCATTATTCATTTGGAATTTGTATCATTTATTTCTGGTTCATGTATATATAAAGTGGTTCTCTTTATATCTTTTAAGTAATTTGCTTAAACCTATAGGTATTAGTTTATCAACTTCATTCTTTTACTCTTGAGTTGATATTTTCTGAGATTTTTGTTACCATCTATAATCATTTATTCATGAGTCCATTTATTCAGCAGGTATTTACTGATCTCCTGTTGCTTGCCCTGGTCATTTTGCTAATGTAGGGAATACTGTAGTGAGCAGCATAGGGTGGTTTCTGCCTTCATAGAGCTTAAATTCCAAAGGGGAAAATAGGTGATATACAAAATTAAAAATGATTGCAGATTGTATCAAATGCTAGGAAAGAGGTAAATGAGGATGTGCTTAGCTCATGGGTTGTGGGAAGAGTGGAGCTCAGAGATCTCTGTGAAAAAGGTGGAGAGGGAGGTAGAGCCAGCCTTGTAAAGTGTCAGAACTGTGGCCATGGGGGCAGTTGTCAGGGGAGGGAGAGGGTTTTCAGGGAGAGAATAGCAAAGGCTGGGGGAAAGACTGATCTTTTTGGTAAGCTAGTGGTTTTTTAATTGTTTAACCAAATTCAGTGGACAGTTTTTATAACAAATACTTTGTAGCATCTTCTTTGTCCTTGTAAAAATAAAATTCATAAATAATGTAATTTACCTATACACAGAATTTCTTAAGTCAGTATAATACCCTAACTGTGAAATAAAGAGAAATGAAATTGATTTATATTTAAAAAATGTATTTCAACACTCATAATTATTCAAGCACATTTATACATACTAGAATATAAATGGAATAGCTGTTTACATTTATATGTAGAATTACCATTGAATGTGATAGCTACAGATGAACTAATAAAGGTATGATTCATTGGCAGCTTATGTACCATAATTGGTATTTTCCTTAGGTGATAAAGAATTCGTGGGAAAGTTCTAAAAATTATGAAGTGTGACTTCTGTGATTTACAAAGGTTAATCATATTGTATTCATACACATTATACATTGTATATTAATCATACTATATTCATATACATTATGTGTTGTATATTACTAGAAAATCAAATGTGTATCAATACTTTGCTTATATATGTAAAACAAAATTGGGTTCTAGGCTCAATTTGTTATAAATTGGTGTTTTTCATTAATCTGTAATTTTCAGGGAAGATGGCTGGGAGGAAGCAAGGTTTTTCAGTCTTGGCAGTATTGACATTTGGAGCTAGATAATTTGTTTGGTGTCATGGTTGTCACTATGCATTGTGGGTGATCAGCAGCGTCCCTGGCTGTTTTAGGTGCCAGGAGCATATCTTCCCCCACAATGTGACAACCAAAAATGTGTTCAGACATTGCCCAGGTTGAGAATTATGTTAAAGATAGTTTATGTTTATAAAACAAATATTAAGGCACATTCTCTTCAAGCTTCTTTTCATGAGTTTGTTCAATCAGCACATTCAGTGATGTAAGACACAGCAAGGTAAATAAGGTTTCTGTCCTTGAGTCCAGGCTAAGGGAGAAATGACATGGGTTCACATGTGGTACAGCATCATACAGCGTGTCATTGTGATGTTCATACGATGCTGTAGAGACACCGGGGGTCATAGTTACTCACAGGAACTTCAGGGGTAAGACACCGTTCTTTTGGTTGAAAGTGTTGGTATTGCATAAATCACTAATTTATAAAACTGAGCTTTTTGGTTAATGATGTAAATTATGTGTGTTTTCAGAGAAGACCTGTTGAAAATTGATGCATATCTTAACATTTGTCTTCCTCACTATCCATCTGTCTCTTTTTTTGTGTTTTACTTTTCAAAATTTTTTCTCAATTGTGCTGATGAAGATTTTTGTTTTAGCCCACTAGGTGGCACTCTTAGCATAGAGAGGAAATCTTGAGCAGTAAGCAAGCTTTCAGTCACACTGAAGATTTACCCTTCATTCTATCTGTAATAGAAGCCAGCGTCCTAAACTGAGATATAGCAGAAGTAAGGAGAGAGTCCATTGTGTTGTAAATTAAAAATGAAATAGGTAAGTGAACACAGAGTATTTGGATCTAGGTGTGTGTTTTACTTCACATAGGCATTTATTTCCTTAAATCAGGATCTTACTCATGTAGGGGCAGTACAAATGCAGTGGTCAAGAGGATGGTCTGAGTAGTCAACTGTAGGTTTAAATCTCGTCTCTGCTCCTTACTAGCTTAGGCAAGATACATAACCCATCTCTGTCTGAGATTCTTCATGTATAAAATAGGACTAATGGTGTCTGCACTTCAGTGGACCCTGTGAGGATTAAACGAGTTAATGTAAATAAAAATGCTTAGGGCTTAGAACCTGGCACACGGTAAAAATAATAGTAACAGCAAGGTTAGCAATTAGTAGTAGTCTTAAAAATATAAAATAGTACCAAAATACTAGATGTTTTAAGCTTACTCATCTGAATGCCTTACTTAGCTGATTATTGACTCACTGACTCTGTAGTTTTGAAGTTGGTTAGACAGATAGCAAAGAAGCAGACTCAGTTCCAAAATTGGAGGCACTTATCTTTTGCAGTCAAGTATTAGCTGGTGTTCCTGGTAAGAAGTCCAGTGACAATCTGACTCTCCCCCATTGCTGGCAGCTTGTTCTTTTCTGCCTGGAAGCTTAAATGATTTCAACTTTATCCTTAGAATCCAGGACTTCTCCTAGTAGCTACTCCCCCTGGGGCTCTAATGCTATTTTAGGTCATTCTTTTTTTAATAGCTGTATGGTATTCCATATATGGACGTACTTTAAAACAGTTTATCTGAGGCCCCACAGAGAGAAATGTAGTTTGTGTTTTGTTTTGCCGTATGCTATTATAAATAATG